CAGCCGATGGCTTCATTAAGGCAGATCAGACAACATCGTTGCCTGTAGAAAAAGGAATGTGGCAAAGTAAAATGTAGGCTTTGTGTGTAACTCTACAATTATGCATCGATTCTGTGAGGTAGATATATTGTACTTTTTTCAGGAATCCATGGTTCAAAGAAGTAAAATAATGTTTTTTAAAATGTTTCCCATCTGTGAATAGGTGCTGAGTTCCTAGCTTCAGTGCAATGGCCATGGCATGAGATGGTGTAAGGCCACTTACTCCTGACTAGTAGTATTCCAGGTATGACTCATAGCTGCAGTGAGTTTTCATAGATTGTCTATCACACAGGTAGAAATTGCCCATCTTTCTCCCATGGAACATTTAGTGAGTTTGAGTTCACCATACCTTTGGGTTGGCTGCACAGATCCATCAAACCATGACGGCTCCCTATTCTCGACTTAATAACCAGAATTGGGTTAAAATGAAGGCAATGTTTGTTTTCAATGTTGGCTTTTCTTTGCCAACACTGATTCCATGATTAACATTTGAATCCATATCTGTACAAGGAAATAGTTTTTAGGTTTTTCTTTTCTCTTTCTCATGAGTCACAAACTCATTTGGGAAAAGCTAGAGTTGTTTGATAGTTCAAACTTCTCACCATACTCATTCGTGTTGATGGATTTTGACAAACATTAGTTGGTAGTTCAGATGGAAACATGCCTACCTTAGAAAGTAGTAATTCATTTTTCCTTTTATTAATTCAAATTCTTGAGTTTAAATGTCAGTATAATCAGAGAAAGGTAACATGAAGAAATGATAAATTGTTAGTGCAACAAATTGGTCTTATCATTTCATGCTTTGATTTTTCCTTATTGAGTGGTAATGCTATTCCTTTTTATCTAGCTATCATTCCCAGTCATCTATAGCCCTTAAATATCCTGAAAATCTATGCTAGATCACTTAGGATATATGCAAAAAAGGTACTGGTTAGTACTGAGGCAACTGTTACAAAGCTGGGGTAGCAAAATTTTTTTACCTCATTGTATGGGGGGTTGAAATGAACCAAAAACCACTATTATATTTTAGTGGGGTTTTTTAATGGTAGGTTTTTGTTTTTGTTGTTTTTTTTCATTTAGGGATAATTGAATTTTCAGTATTTTACAAATCTAGTTGTCATTTAGAGAGCTATTGTGGCCTGGTTCATAGGGGGCTGTTCGGCTAACGCCTAAAGGCCTGTCACTTAGGCACTTCAAATCCACAAGCTGCTCCCCATGAGTAAGATGGACAGTCTCCTCCTATACAATATACAGCTTTAGAAATCCAATGGAGGATCAGCTACAGGACAGCTTCAATTCAGTGGCCGTGGCTAAGTGAGTAGTCTGATAAATTAGGATTCTTACATCTATTTAGAGCAAAGCAAAAAACGCCAAACATAAGAGTTGATAAACTTCAGTGACCACCTGTGAATAAAAAAGGGAACCGAAGAGATCTAAAATTACATACAATCCAAGAGATCCATATGGTATTCAGTTCAAGAAGTGTTGATTTAAATTCTGCACCTGATCCTTAAGAAAGTAGGGAGGGATATAATAGTTTTTAGAAAGATTTCCAACAAATTTATGTTAAAAATAATTAAACTTACAAAACCCAAATGAAAACCAACAAAGCACTTTAAAACCAAGCCTTGCTTTCTTTTCCTTTGGTCTGTGCATCCTTGCATTCTCTTCCCTTTTCCTTTGGTCTAGGCACCCTTACACATTGGGTTGACGCTAGAATGCTAGTGATGAAAGATGATCCAGGTCCACAGATTTTGAAGTCCAATAGCAGGCAAGTCTGCACATCTTAAGTGACTCATTCTTGGATGTTTCAAAAGGAGTTCTGGTGTTGTAGTAGGTTGTACATTGTTCAAGCCCACCAGTAGCTCAACAGGGGTGACATGAGGCAAACTGGAAAGAGTTACAGACTTGGAAACCCAACAGAAGGTTGCTAGAAGTCAGAATTAACTCAATGATTGGGTTTGTGGGTTTCAGACTTAGTCTTAAGCTAAATGTATCCATCATTTATCAATTTCTTTCCTTTCCTTTCCCAATAAGCTAACTTAATTTTTTTGTCAAAGTAAAACAAGATGACAGACAAATGAAGTCTCTTTTGATTTTAATCATGCTATTACTATTTATACTCAGTGGCACATAACAACAATAACATACTGTGACAGGTTTGGAAGCAAGAGTGGCATCCAATTCCTAAACAACATGCCTCCAGAAACTCTATGAACTTTGAAAAATGTCAATAGTTGTAGAAGGACTTCAGGCCTTTTGTTTATAGGGTCTCAATGAGTTGTGCTTGACTCAAAGGCAATCAACAACAACAACAACAACAACACTATATATAATCTCCATCAACCACAAAATAGGTACTGAGATGTTTTTATTTTCACTTTTTATGATATCTACCCTTCAAAGAAAATATCTACCATTCTTAGAAACTAAAGGAATATACAAATTCATATCTTTGTAATTTTACATTGCCTGCTATATTTATCTCCACTTCTAAGCAACATGCCTCTGGAAACTATGAACTTTGAGAAACAGTGATAGTTACAGAAAGGCTTCAGGTCTTTTGTTCATAGGGTCGCTATAAGTCATGCTAACTCGATGGAAATCAACAACTCGTGTGTGTGTGTGTGTGTGTGTGTGTGTGTGTGTGTGTAACAATACTTGATATTGTGAAATATCAGATACACATCAGATATTATATGGTATTAGATATTATACAATATTTCCTATTGTATAATACACAACGTCAAGTTGAAAGTAATTTTTGTTTAATTTGGCTTTGTGACTATTAATACAGTCTATAACATGAACATAGGATAAATAACTGTGCTTTTGAATATAGAACTCAGCAGGTTTGCTCAGTGTCTCAAGGTGATTGAAAGCTATTAAAAATATGTAGTAGCCTTACAGGTTTGAAGGTCTGTTTATAGTTCCAATAGATGAATGAATCTGGGAACTAAATTAAGGTGAAGCTGCTCTGAAAATAAAGAAGCTGTTTCACAGAGTTCTGTCCATCCTTATGCATGATTCACCAGTCTCATTGTTGAAATGATAGATTCTTCCATTTTTAGATTTTAATGCATTGACTCACCCTTTCTGGGATAACACTGTCTAGCAAAAGCTCGACTTTTTAAAAAATGAAGTCATTTTAGAAATAATTGAAACGTAAAGGAAAATCATGCTTCTTCAGTTACCTAAACATTGCACTGTTAGATCAAATTCTTGTTCTGAAACGTATGCTGTGATTGAGCTCAAAGATACTGCAACCATGGACATAGTTACATTAGCTAAAAAGAATTAGTCAAAACTTAAAATAGTTCACTTCTTTTTTCCTGTTTACTTTTACTGAGCCATCAGCTCTAGTAGATATTGCTGAGATTATCTGTTGTTATGAATATGGTCCTCATCACTTCCTGAGAGTAAAGTTATATACATGTACTATACCAATTTGGACATGTTATCAGGAAGGACCAGTCCCTGGAGAAAAACACTATGGTTAGTGAAAAAGACATTCAGCCAAAGAGAAAAGAAGACCCTCCATAAGATGGCATTGACACATTGACTGCAACAAGGGGCTCAAACCTAACAGTTGTGGGAATGGCTCAGCACTGGGCAGTGTGCAGGTATGAAGCACATAAGGTCATATTAAATCAGAACCAATCCCAGAGCGCTTAACAATACATTGTTTCAGCAAGTAACATTTTAATTTATCAAAAGATATGTACATATATAATAGCAGAAATTATAAAATAGATTAAAATATCACATACTGCTTAATATAACAGTTTTCTGCATCTAATATTTTTTACAAAGGTTGAAATTTTTGCATGTATGCAAGGTAGTCTGGGGTAACAAAATAAACAAGAGCCTTAATGGATCAGTGTATCTGTGTGTCCATGTGGTCTAGGTCTGATTGAATGCATGACCTACTACTTCTGAAAAAAATGAAGGCCCATTTATTAACTGGCCAAGAGAAATTCCACAGCATGTCGAATACAGACATTAATACATTAACATTCTACTTTATTTTCCATTTTTAAAAAAAGAAAGGAACTTTTGAGACTCTTCCATGAACATACTCAAAAAATGAAATAAGAAAACTTGATACAAGAACTCCTTCAAGTAAGGATTTGTGATGCAAATATTTTTATCTTTGAACAGGGCAAGCTGATATGTTCATGTCCCAGTTGCAGGCTGCATCTTCCACCAGGACACATTAGTATATTTAAGCATGTTTAAAATGCTCTCCCCTCACCCTTGCTGTGTTTCTGTAGCACCTATAGCCATAACTGGCACCTTGGGGCCTTGCATTGTTGGCAGTTTCCCTTGCATTTCTTTGGAGTCTATTCAATGGCTGTGGTTTTACTCAGAAGTCGATGCTTTGCATATATGATTTCCTGAGACAGTCTGAATAGTCTTTCTCAGAAAACTGTGCCCGTCTGGCTGTGAGCAGCTCTTCTCGGAGGGAGCTGACAGTAGTCTGGTTGGGTTGATATACTAAGTCTTAGGTTCCTAGCCATGTCCTCCTATCTCCTCTCCCTATCTCTCTTTTTTCTTGTCTCTGCCTTTGTGGCATCATTGCCCACATCTTGCCAACACTTTAAAGGGGGCGAAATAGCTGGACTAGTTGAGTTAGGAAAAGAGAAAATGCAGGCCAGGAATCTGTACAAAGTGGCTATAAAAACAATCCCTATTTTCTGCTGTTTCAGCAGCTGACATGGGAATGATTTTAAACAATAAAATCAGACTGAATGATTTGAACTTTTCTGTCAGACAATGATCTGTTACAAAGACAGAAGTCCCTAGTTATGATTAAAGGTATAACATTTAGGGAGAAGGGTAACCTTAAATTTCATAATTTGAGTGTATTTTCTTTAAGACCATCATCCTGACAGTACAGTTTTGAGATGAGAACAAAAATGGTTTGTAATAAGCTTTAAGTGGCATGCTATCCTGAGGTGTTAAGGAAGTGAGAAGCATTGTTTTAGGAAGTGGCTCATGTGAGTGTATATATGCTGGTGGGCTGTGCTGGTGGCAATGCCATGGTCCTCGTCAGTATACCACTGAAAGAGAAACAAGGAAAGGTCAGAATTAGGAACTCATTTCTTCTCCCCCTCATACCAGTCTATTCAAATGAGCCCACCTGAGCGTAGTGTTAAAGCAAGGTGTGTTAATTCCTGACAGTTTATAAATGGAAACTTGATCAAAGAGGGTGCCTAATTTTGGCCAGAACTTTTCCAGGGCTTGGTGCTCCTTCTGTGAAAGGTCTCTGATCCACCTGTAAAGGTCATCTGAGAGTTCACTGTGCATGTGGCTTTAAATATGGTGCTTGGAGGATGTGTAAGTTCTAATTAGCCCACACACCCCAGTCAACTTTCAGATTTGACGCTAAGGACACTTAAAGCCACATGGTGCACAGAGGAAGGAAGGTTTATCCCATGGAACCTACTTGCTTGAATTTCATGCTATCAAATGTGAAATATCTCCTTTACTAAGAGTCAAATGAGTTTTTTTAAAGCATTTTTTCCATAATAGATATTGTTAAGGAGGATGGGAAAATATTTTTCCATATGAAACATATATGTGTAACATAAGTGAAGTCAAAAGTCAAATGTACTATTTGTAAACACTTAAGATTTTTCCACTAGCATTTAAAAAAAAAAATCTCTATGTCTGCTATTTATATATTTAAAAAAGCTTGGGACCCGAGGCAAAAATACATCAGCTCACACTATATTAAATGTACTGAAGCAGAAAGTCATTGCCAGAGAAATATTTATTATGGAGACATAAATTAACTTTTAAAAAACTTAATTGGAGTATCATGTCTTTTCTTCAAATAGTGGAGAAGAAAAAAAAAACCACAATCTTATAAAAAAAAATTAAACCTCCTACAAGAACTTGACCCAAAGGACATGAGTCACTTTTCTCAGTATCTAAATGGCCGTGTTCGCCTGTACAGGAGCAACATTTGAACTAAACACAGAGCAAAGTATCCATGTTAGAAGACAGTGTGTGTGGGGGGGGAAGTAGGCTTTTATTTTAATAAAGCAGACTATGGGGCTACATTTTGTACACAAAATAAATGACTGCAACATCCATACGTTTTCTTTATAATGTAAAAACTCTTGTGCAGAAAAATGAATTTGCCTTAATAACCAAAAATATCCTCTGTACAGGCAGCAACAGCTTTGGCCATTTCTGACTTAATAAAACAAGCCTAATTGTTTACTGTCTATGAGGATTCAACAAAAGAGAACATGGCAATTGCAAAAGCAGAAGCATGCTGATTATTACTATCCCACTGCCGGGAGAACACCTAGTAATATATCCCACACAGAAATGGATTTTCATATTTGAGCTATTACGATGCTTGTTTCATGTCAGAATTATTGTGCCACATATTTACTGAATAACTGATTACTTTTTTTATCAAAATGAGGAGAGACTTAAAAATCACACAGACAGGGGAGCAATGCTTTGACTCTCCCAAGATATGCAATACTGTGCTTCTCAACCCCCAGTGCTCATGTGGAGTGCAAAGACATCACTTCTCTGACTTTGCACTGATAAAAACTCCTTTAATTCTTCCCCTATCTTCTGGACCTCTCTGAAGAGAAGTAACCCAGAGAGAGGGACCCAGAGCCCCACCAGCAACTGCCCTCCCCTGGCACGTAGTTTGCCGTACCATTGCCTGGAAATCCACTCCGGCATCCACCAGTGCTTTGGAGATCTGAGCTGACTGCTGAAAATGAACGTTATCTGCGAGGAGAGAAAGGAGACAGAAAGTAGCTAATAGCTGCTCTGGTTTCTAGATATCAAAGGGTGGGAAAAACACAAGAAAGGGACTGTCTGAAGTTCTAGGACTCAGCATCCCATTTAGCCCAAGACAAGTGAGTTGTGGAAAGCAACACTGTTTTATTGAAGTAAATGTAACAGTCTTGCCCCTCATGCTTTTGTTTTGTCAGTAGTGAAATTGCAAACCTGTCTGTGATACTAAAAAGTCTAATTAACTGAAACTCACCATCTGCTGTTCCATGAATAAGGAGGTACTCAACTTGCTTAAAATTTTCAGCTCTGCTCATGACTGTTGAATTCTGGAATTGGGAAAAAGAATGTCATTATTCAAAAAAGGATCTGCCATAAACTGATTTTTCACTTCAGTTTACAAAATAAAATGTTTTCAGCTGGGGCCCCCTTTGATACAAAATATAGCAAACCGATATTCAAGCAAATGCTGTCTCCATGCATGGCAGAATGCACAACATGCCCAGTGCGGAGGAGACAGGGCTGGGAGAGGATGCCACATCTTCCCTGTGCATGCGGAAAGTGGGCACCCACCACTGAGGCTGCATGCAAGGCCCCCTGAGTCCCAGATCCCAGATTGGCTGTGTCCTATGCATTAGCACAGGGCATAGTCTCATATTAGCAATGTATGTTCCATGGGCTTATGCTGTAGTTCAGCCAAAAAGTGTATTGCCATGGTAACCATGTGTCACATGGTGCCATACATGCTACATTTCAAAGAGCCTGTACATAGCATTTGCAGCTGAACATACTGTGCAATATGTCATGTGAACTTTGGTCTACATGCTAGGCTCTGAATGCAAAGCAAATATTACCTCGTTCAGAACAGATGTTTAAAACCTAGGCAAATGTAACATATGGGAGCGGAGAGGGGTGAAAGAGATCAAGGGAGGCCTTAGAATTACAGTGAGTTGCTGTTGTCTGCTTCATTCTGTAGTGAGAAAATTGCTGCTATTGGACCAAGCCATTCCCCAAGCAGCCAGGGTAACAAGGATGCATATATATAGTCTGTAACATAACAATACATCTTGTCTGAAGACTGTCCTGTGGCCTGAATCATTTAGAACTTCCAGAATGAAAAATAGAGTCCAAGGCCTCAGGTGAAAAAAACCCTTGAAAGCATAGTACTGGTCATCGATGTTATTTTGGGAATTTTCACAAAGTTGGGGTGAAGATAGCTCTTATCTAACAGATGTGGTGCTGCGCTTGGAAGGTGGTGAACTACCGTGTACTTTTATTATCTTTTTATGAATTGGCAGGGGAAGGGGCCATGCCTTCTACAGGCTTACAATCAGCCAGCCAGTCTTGAAGCATCTTGGTAACTCCAAGTCAGTTTTCTCAGAGCCAATGATTATATTTCACAAGCATCTTGTAACTAAGTCCATTTCGGATTTCTGCTGTGAGGCTGGAGGTCTGGCAGGGAGAGCACAGGGCTGAAATCAGGGTGCTTCTCCTTCAGCCCCAGTTTCACCATCAGTGAGCTGTGTGGATGGAGACATGCTGCTCTCAGAGCTTTGTTTTATGTAAAAAAGGAGTAAGAATAACTCCTCTGGTTCCCTCACAGAAATAGGAATCAAGAAAGATGGCACGGCTTTTTTTTTTTTTTTAGGTTAAAATCGTTGCTGATGATGTGCTGAGTGAGAATGCTATGACACAGTGTTTTTAGAGAAAAAAGATGTCTGTCTACAAATTCCAGGATAGAGTCACTTAAAATGACTCAACTGACCGAGGCTTCCAAACTTATCTTGTCCCAAAAGGCTTCCCACAATGCCATCCCACTTGTGTGCGGGTAGCTCCCCACTTGTCCTGACAATATTACATTTCTGACCCAAATGGAGAGTTTACTTGTGACTTTCAGAATGAAAATGAGCTCATGTGGCACAGAAGGATGTTAACTGAAAGTGGGTCCCTAACTGAAAGATCAGCAGTTTGAACCCACCTGCTGCTCCACTGGGGACTGATGAGCTAGTCCGCTTCTGTTAAGATTTACAGCCTTGGAACTCCCATGAAATAGTTCTGCTCTGCCCTATAGGGTAATAGGGAGCTCTAGCAGCTTAGTTTTGCTACCAACCCAAAGGCTAGCAGTTCAAATCTACCAACTGCTCTGCAAGAGAAAAATGGGCAAACTCCTCCTTGTGCAACTTACAGCCTGTGAGAACCTGCTGAAGGGTCGCCTGTGGGTCAGTTTTGACTCAACACTACACAATAACAACAACTAAAAGGTGATTATGAGTCAGCATCAACTCAGCTGCAGAGGGTAGATTTTCAGCATAAACCCGCTGGGCTTACTGAAAGCCATACTTACGTATTTTTAAGACCTAGACAAATATGTACATACATGAATTCATCTCTCTGAATATCTCCTATTCATGCATACATTTTTTTTAAAAAAAATTATCCACTAACTCATAAGCACCATGAAGAAAAGACTTACCTATATTGCTTATTACTTTGTCCTTAGTTTGTAGGACAATGTTAAATATGTTGTTATGTGCCATCAAGTTGCCTACAACTCATAGCAACCCTATATACAAGAGTTCTGAAGTCTAACCTGTCCTAAGCCAAGTTTCACTGATTCCAACACACCTAACACCACTGTACCAGTTACTATATCAATCCATCTCATCCGGGGCCTTTCTCTCCTGCGCTGTCCATCCACCCTTCTCACCATAATGCTCTTCTCCAAAGATTGGGCCCTCTTGGTCATGTGCCCAAAGTATGTGAGACAGAGCTTCAGAATCCTAGCCTCCAAGGAGACACTTGGTTTCAGTCGCTCCAAGACAGACCTACTTGTTTTCTCGGCAGTCCGTAGTATGTTCAAGAGTCTTCTCCAGCACCACAATTCAAAGGCATCAATGTTAAATATATATCCAGTAAATGAAAGAAAGTAATAGACATTTATTTTGTACTGCTCTGAGTATTTGATCCTAGTTAAAGCAGAGGCAAGCGGGAACAGCTGGGAGAGGTGGAATAAAATATTCTCATTCTGAAATATGTTCCATTGCACCAGTCTTTGTGCTAAGCATCACAGATTTCCAAAACACTGTTCCGCTTAATTGTCACAATGACACTCGGAGATAGGCGTGTGCCACTCGTGTTTTATGGATGGAGACCCTGAGATTTAGAAGGTGAGTAACTTCTTCCAGATGACATCAGCAGAAGTATCAGAGCTGGAGATAAACACAAACTGTAAAACCTGTTTTTAATTTCTATGCTTCCCCGTGTCTCTACTAAAATTCCAAGCTGCTCATGATGGGATCTTCCAGCAAAGGAACAGCCTGACATAAAAATGTTAATGACTGCTCTGGAATTTGTAGTACACAAATACACTGGGTACCCTTTGGCTTCAAAGACCTCATGCTTTTTCCCAACTGGATTAATCAGAAGATTAGTCTATAGACCTTGTGAGTTTTAAAAAACCATTTGCTTCTGATCATGCATGTACTACATAGCTCTAATGCAGCAACAGAACCTTGAGAAATTTTTTACTCTTCAGGGATGAAAGGGTGAAAATAAATCTCCCCTAAGATATTTAAAGCTGTCTTCAGCAGTCCAGGCTGAAGACCTGAGAAACGAGGGCTGGATTCTAATAGAGAACCGTTAATATTCAGATCCCCAAGACCTGAGTGCCCAGTGTTATTAAGAAATCCTCCTTAGTGAGCCTGTCTCCTAATCATACATAAAGCCTGTACCGACTGCTCCGGGTACCTTTTTCTTCCCAGATTTAATTTAGTTCTGCACTCGTGGCAAACAGTCAACTTTAGCACCCAGCCCTGACCCAGATCTACAGCTTGTCATCTCACTTTACCTCACTTCCTGGTCCTTCTTTGCTTAGCAGCTTGGCCAGCAAAGCTGCTCCTACAACCTCCCTGAGCCATGAAACCGAGAAATGTCATCGAAACAGAGAGTAATAGTTAAGAGACATATAAATACACGGGACAGTTAGCAAGGAATGTGATAACTACTGGAGTTTGGACCAAAACAGTTTCTGGCTGCCTTTTTTTTTTTTCTTAAATGGAGTGAATACAGGCTGAAAGAAGACAATTTTTATAAACAAGTAAAACCCTGAGCCTAAGATAAATGTTGTGATGTACACACTGTAGCTGTGATGAACTAGACATGGTGAGAAATGCAACATACTGAGAAAAAGACGAAAACTGTGATAAAAGTGTCATGATGCAAATTGTTTTACATTAACAATATTACACTACAAAGAAAGAAAGACAAATACTTTAATGCAGCAAGAGAAAAATAAAACAAAAGCTTTCCCTGCAAAGGCAAGATAAGTGTGCCATTTCTAATGCACGCTTCCCCTGCTCCCTAAGAGAAGCCCTGGGAGGGACCTCTGTGGGGAAGGGAGAGCGGCAGCCCTGAGGCATGAATGCACATTAAGGCTCCCGGAGTGCAGGAAAGCATTGCTCTGTCCTTAGAACAGCGCAGCTGCGTGACCTTGCCTTTGGAACCCCGTATCATTCTCTATGAGACGAGGCGTCCTATTTTCTCAATCAAGACTCTTTACTATACTCTGAATAGTGCACATCAACCTATGGAACGCAATACCCAATGCCGGTGAAAACCTGCATGCCTTGACGCAATGCGCCAGTGATGATCAGCAAAACTCTAATTGCGCTCTTTTCCCCCCACTGCTATACGATAGTCCCCTTTTGTCTACCGATGGAAACAGAAATATAAAAGGAAATGGATGACTCTGTTAGAAGCAGAATAGTCTATCACCAATTACTAAAAAGGAAGCTCAGAGTGATAAATGGGCAAAGATGCGAATGGTGGTGCAGTTGGCACTCTCTTGAGGCTAGAAACTTCCGGAGGGCCCTGCTGCCAGCAACAGTCTGGCAAAGGGAAGTGGGAAGGATCAGTCCAGTGGTAGTGCCGATTCCACAGCATCTCTGTGAGAAGCTTTTCCTTCAAGCCCCAAGAAGAACCATCTGTAACTGCTTGTTGGATCATGCTGGTTCCTCAGTCACCTTCCAACAAATAAATCTTTGTATTTTTGAAAGAAAAGAGGGAGCTGATAAGAGTAGAGAAGGATGTAAGAAACTGTATAACAATTCTTAAGTAGTCCCCTTACACCATCAAGTGGACCACTACTTTCCTGAGGAGAATAAAGATGGGAGCTGCCATGAAGACTTGCTTCATGGTGGTCACATGTGTGACTCTTTAAATCTTTTCAATAACTTTCTGTAGTGGGTCTCATTATTCCTATTCCATAGATGAGGAAACAGGCTTTAAGAGAACTTCGTGAAGGTCATGCTACAAGCCCTTTATCATTATA